CTGTTTAATGATCTACAACAAAATAGAATGAGCTTTGGTGATAACTAAACAGATATTTAATTACTATAATACTGACTTCTCGCTAGAAATGACATCAAAAGTGCAAAAAGTTAGTCAGAAATATACATTTACACATAAACTGACCACCCAACGCAACTTTCAGACGCCATTTTAATTTTTTAGCTTAACCGTCACGGAATGGAACGCACAGGATTGTGGGATATCAAAGGCAGCGAAGGATACATCTATGCTGCCTTCAAAATTCGATCAGAAGAAGGTACCTCCGGAGACAGGAAGCAAAGCAGAATTTGGATTCGGACGTGCCTTGATGTCTTCCTTCCTTTCTGAAGGCAGCATTTTAGAGTTTTCGGATGCAGCCAATATCTCATCTCCTAGCGCACACTTGCATTCATCTCATAATTTTCCTATGCATATTTTATTTATGAAGTTCACAAACTAAGTCCATATCTTATCGTTCTCCTTGAGAGTCTGTGCATGTATGGACACCCAGTTGTGGTCATCATTCAGAGATATGTTAAAGGAATAAATAGGTCACCGAAAATGTAAAAAGCTGCATTTCTTCCGGCTAAAATACTCGATCCATAATAATGCTTTCTTTAGTGAAAAGCCGTCTCGTCTGAATCAAGAGAGAAATATGCACAGATCAAGAGAACAGTACAAAACTGTTCTAAACAAATATGTTGATGGATTTTGATGTGAGAGGAAAACCTGGGATGGACCTTTTTGTCTGGAGGAAGCATTATTATGGATTATGGACAGGATCCATTATTGAGCAAGTTATATAATGCTAAATTTCTCCAAATCTGTTCAGATGAAGAAACAAATTCATCCAGGATGACATGAGGTGCATAACGTTTCAGCAATTTTTTTATTTTTAGGTGCACGTATGAAGAAAACATAGTGACAGTATGCTATTAATATCCTATTATCTAGAGAAAAAAAAGTGAAACTGCTCCAATCACATTGTTTTAACTGGCAGCATCCACCTGAAGTTTCACCACCACACACCCACTGATGTGTTCTTGGCGCTGATAGTCCAATGCTCATCTCAGGCACTGTATATTTAGATGGATGATAACAGATACAAAGTGAGTTATGAGTAAGGTTGGCACTGCCAGCTGGGGTTTAATTCATTTGACATGACAGGAACGAATAGGATCTTAATGAGTGACAGAGCATGCTGCCTGAGTCCACAAAAACTGGTCTCAGGTTTGCATTTAATTTTGATTAACCCCTAGGAAAAAAATGGGTTGCTCCAAGGTTGCTCAGGAGACTTTTCAAGTCATGCTTCAACTTTGTCTAAAATTATTGGGGGGAAATAAAAATAGACACAAAAAGAGCTTTAAAATGTATCATTGTCTCTTGAAAGATGGGGAAATTTTGAATTTATACTAAAAATCTCGAACTTTTGATAGAAGACTTTGGTATCTTGGCGTATTTGAGCATAGTGGAAAAAAAATCTAATTTATGATTTTTCTGGCAACTGAAAAAAAAAGTGTTTAAGGTGAAGTACTAAAATGACTGAAACTAAAGCTGAAATAAAATGAAAGCTAAACAGAAAAAATAAATAAATAAAAAGACAAAAGCACACGGCAAAATAAACTAAAATTAAAATAAAAACTGAAAATGTACAAATAAAAGCTAAGTCAAGACGTTAATACATATAGAAATGGTACTAAAATAACACTGGTTTTAATATAATCTCACAACACAGTTTTGCATTGCAAAGTCTGAATTAGCCAGGATGGCTAACGGAGCCCTAGATCCAAAGTTCATTTGCCTCTAACCTTTGACTTTTAAAGGCCTGTTAAACAGTATGCTCTGTCATGAACCCTTGGCGCACAAGATTGCCAATATAAAGCCTCACTGGACAGTTTCCCATGAGTCACTGCAAGGTGTGAAGACAACTGAGAATGTACTAGTTGTTTGTTGTGGGGCTGTTTTGGTAGCTGTTGATAAGCATGTATGTGAGTGTGTATGCATGGATAAATGTGTGTGCTGCATTTATTTGCAACCTTTCTATTTAAATGTGGTCTTGCAGCCTGTTACCATCAGCCACAAATTTGCTTCACACCGAGTTGCCTTGTTTAATGGCTTTATAAACTACTTTGAAACAAAAAAACATTAATCAAATTTTGTACGTTTTAATAGAGATTATTTGTCTCCAGTTTACTTTGTGTCATTAGGGATTCACAGACTTTTACCACATTTGCACTGTAAATATTTACACAGTGTGTTCAATAAAGATGACGTTTATTTTGTTTAAAAAAGACTGTCGAATGTTTGACATAGTTGAAGGTCAATCAAATTTAATGACCAAATTTGTTCCCTGCATGCATTGTTTCTATATTAGTATCAGTGTTATTTTAATATATTTTATATACTACTATTGTATGTATTAATATTTTGAATTAGCTTTTATTTTCTCACTGATTATGAGGTACATGGTTGAATACAAGCATTACAGTGAGAAGTAGTAATATTGTTCTACTAATGACACTTTAGTTGGTTCATTTATTAGGATTTTGTCTAATTAATTTTTTATATAGCACCATTTAAACAGCAGCAGCTGACCAATGTGCTTTACAATGCATTATAAAACATTCATAAAATAAAATCAGACTGAAGACATTGATAAAATGCTAGCAATATGTAGTGAACATTGAAAGCCAGTAAAAAAAAGTGAGTTTTTAGTAATGACTGCAGGGGTGGAGTAGATCTAATCTGAAGTGACAGAAGTTGAAGTTGTTTTCACATATAGCTAGATCTGTGCATAAGCGAAAACCGTAATTTATTCAGACAAGACATGACTTAGAATGTAGCTCTATCACTCAAACACAGGAAGTTCTTGTTCATTGCTGATACGCTGAATTTTCTTTTGCTTTTCTTGTATTCTCTCCACTACTGAACGCCAGAGGTGAGGCTTGTCTTTTTTCTGCTTTTATCTTATTTCTCCTGTGCATGTTTCAGGATGGTTTTGAGGGTGATTTAATGTGATAATTTTTGAGGTGAAGCTATTTGTGCACACTTGTGGCATCACTAAAACTGTAAAGGCCTAGAAATGGACAAATTTAACACCCTGCTGTACTCAAACCCACAATGGCAAACATGCCACTTTCATCGGTATCAAGAACAAATGCATGCAAAACAAACACCAGAAAAGAGAAATATGGCTTTAAAAGATATTGTATATAGAGCTACTGAGCAGAGCGTGGAGAGAAACAGCACACACTTGATTTTTGAATGGAAAAATAGTTTCCACTGAACGTGTGTTAATCTATTGAAAACAACCCATGGCATGTGCTCACTACTCTAAATTTGGTTGTGGTGCACATATAGATATTTACTTTTCAAGTTGAAAAGCTACTTTTCTTTCTTTCTCTAGATCAGTGTTTTGCATGTGTTCATGTATGAGTATCCAGGCAGATGAGATGCAAAATAACTTTTCATCTATTTTAATCTACATCAGCAATAAAGACTTTCCTGGACATGAATTAAGCTAACATTAAACTGTCTCAATGTTAACATTAAACTGCAGCGAGCTTTCATTCAGTTTGGATTGTGCCATTTAGAATATGATACATGCTGATAATATTACAGAACTTTTAAACATTTGTATGATTTAGTTAGTTTTGATGTGTGTGTGTCTGTGTTTATATATATATATATATGTCACGGTGGGGACCTAAATTGAGGTCCCCATGGGTACAAATGCAGAATGAGTTTTTTTTTTAGAAAGTAAAAATGCAGAAAGTTTCCTGTGAGGGGTAGGTTTAGGTTTAGGGTTGGTGTAGGGCAATAGAAAATACAGTTTGTACAGTATAAAAACCATTATAAGTGACTAAGTGACGTGACATGTGGCCAAGTATGGTGACCCATACTCGGAATTAGTGCTCTGCATTTACCCATCCAAAGTGCACACACAGCAGTGAACACACACAAACCGTGAACACACACCCGGAGTAGTGGACAGCCATTTTTGTTGCGGCGCCCGGGGATATATGCCTATGGAGAGTCCACACAAGGATGTAGCTGACCAGACATGTGTGTGTGTGTGTGTGTGTGTGTGTGTTTGTGTGTAGTAATTATTTATTTAAAAGATATGATTGATGATTTCGTTCTGACGTACAGATTGCAGATCTGCACCAGAATCTTTCTCTGGCCCTGTTGCAGATGACTATTTTTGCGAAAGCAGCTGCCAACACTCTTGATACCACCCAGAGAACAATGTTTATCTCTGTCTTTTAATACGATTATTTTATTAGAAAT